AGAAGAAGTTGCTTATGAACAGTCTCAGACAGGTATCATTTGGCCACAATGTGAGTGTATCTGACAGATATTCACTTTTCGTCAGGTAGTGGAACACAGAAATACTTAAGGGCTATCAACACTAGCTATATTTCTTCACCCGAATCTGGTTCGGGAATCAAGTTAGGATCAAGACGATTTACTGCAGCATCTTACGCTGGAGAGTATATCTATCAAATAAATCTTACTGAGCGTTTTGTATTTAAACACCCATAGTAGCATTGAAACTCGTCAAGAACTATCCTATCCGATGATCACATAGAGAGGTTCACATTCTCCATTTTGATTCACATTCTAACTCAACACCTAACTTCAGGGTTGATGACCTCTTCGCAGATGTTTAAGTTAAATGTTTTGGGTATTCTGGGCATCAATTTAAATAAACTTGTGAACCATCTACCACTATCAAAGTATATATCAATACAGTACGACTAATGGACATTGATAGCATGTTTGACTATACGTGGTGAAGTAGATAAGCATGTTGAAATGACATCAGTCCTGTAACATCGGTATCTGACAGTATCTCAAAAGACATTCAAAAGTAGCTTGGTTGACTTAGGTCAATCTGTATCATTTTTGAAGCAAGTGAAGAATCTGATTAACTATGAACGCTTCATTGTAATGCAAAAGCAGTCTTATGTCATTATATATACAGAAGCAAAATGTAATGACCAGCACCAACTTTGCAACATCACTGTTGTTTCAAGAAAGTACGTTGTAAGAAATACAGATATAAGTGTATCATCGAATTTCACTGTATGATTCACTATTACTTTGTTCCCTTACATAACTCTTCAACATTGATTTATATGATTTCGTTGGCTTATCACTTATATCACCCTCTGTCTTCTATGTACACACGAGAAATGGTGATTTGGACTACTGAATAGTAAGTAACATTAGGTCCTGTATGATATCGTGCAACTGTTTAAATGCGTGATAGGCGTAGATGAAGTCACTACTAGACCCGAATAGAGGTTTTTCATGATTAGAGAAAATGTGAAAATAACCATTAAACACCTATGAAATAGCTGAAAACCATGACGAGGGAAGAATTCTCATTGTTGTGTAGAACTTGGACACTGTGGTAGTAAGTCATTCCATATTCGTTTGTTTATTAGGTGTATCACATAGTGAAACGGTATTATTCACTGGATGACACAGTTTCGAACACAATTCACTTATTGTTCATAATCATATCAACTGTAATCACACGATTATGAAACTTGAGTTTTATAGTTTTCTTTATTCCTTCCTATTTGTCGTAGGGGTAGTAGAATTTCCCAGATATCTGGGACAGGTGTTGAATCATTGCTATTACATGTATTTGCAGTTGTTCCGATAAACAAAGCTTCTGTTATCAATCTGCCTATACCCTGTGACATTAGATTTTAAAACTGTTATCCTATCCCATCATATTGTATGGTTGTGTGTAGTTGCGTGTAGTGAGTGCTACAGCTGAGCTATTCTCTAGATTTCTTATCTTATTCGGGTCAACCAATCTAGATTTTACTAGGTTTTTATGTTCGGCTAGTCTGACTGCACCTGTTCTACTAGTTTGACCTATGCATTTGACGTGATATTCATTGCAGACAGGGTATTAGATAGACTATATCGTTTTGTTTAATTGGCTCCACAAGATTGCTCCTTTAACCGACAAAGCTTGTTTCTAATTGAGTTTGTGGTTGGTTTGAATGTCAGCCACTTTTATTCCTACCTGCCTTGTTAGGAATTACCCACCGTAATGTTTCCGAGGTCCCTCCTTATATGGAATTACTACTGTTGATTTAGATTTCTTATTCTTGGTGTCGTCATTAATATTATTATTACTATTACCACTACTATGATTATCGATATTATTGTTATCATTATTATTATTACCACTATCGGTACTATCATTCTTTATTTTATTTTTACATTTCCTTACATATTTCCTGACTAATTCATCCGGTAATTATTAAGTTTCAAGGCTTCTTTTGTGTGTGTTACTTCCTGTCCTATATTTTCCTTGGTACTACTTAGTTTTTATGCTCTGTCAGTTAAACATTCCACCACTACTATTTTTACTGACATAGGGTGGGATGATCGGAAGTCAAAATATCTGTTTGAATGTGTGGGTTTCCTGTAAACACTAGTGTTGAACTTCCCGTTTTCTTTCGGTTTTATGCTGCAATCTAACATTGGAAGTTCCCCTTCCTTCCTGACTTTCCAATTCATAAGTGAATTGAATTGCCTCTGCCTTCGAGTTGATGTGCTCGAAAAATCTATCTATATCTTGTGTTCTAAGTACAGTGAATGTGTCATCTACATACCTCCACCATACTTTTGGGGTGGGGTGAACGTTTCAATCGCTATCCATGAATATATCTGCTACAACCGGGGATATTGGCGATCCCATGGCAACTCCCTCAGTTTGTTCGTATATTTTCCCTTGGAATTTAAATACTGCGGAAGTGAGGCATAGCTGTACTCCCAGCATTATGTCCTCGAGTGGTAATTTTGTCCTACTACTCCTACGACAAATAGGAAAGAATAAAGAAAACTGTGACACTAAAGGAATTAGACAAATTTGTGCTTTTTTTTTTATAAAACTATAAAACTCAAGTTTTAAAGTCATGTGATTACAGTTGACATGATTATGAACAATAAGTGAATTGTGTTCGAAACTGTGTCATCCAGTAAATAATACTGTTTCACTGTGTGATACATCTAATAAACATAGTAATATGGTATTCTCATTGTTATTTTAGTTTTTCGCAGAGGGAGCATTAACTATTCATGTGTACAAATAAGATGACAAAAAGCAGTTGCAAGGTGTTTTCGCGCAGAGTATATATAGCAAAACCCGCAAGAGATATTCGTGTTAGGTAAAAACTTAATAAAAAGAAACCTTTAAAATAGCAAAACATAACATTTAATATAATGACAGCATTCCAGTAAGAACGTAATGCAAAATCGGATAAGACCGAGTAGGTGAGGAAATTCAAGTTGTTTACTAACCGCGCCTTTGTTTCATACATTCAAGTAAACGAAAACAAAAAGGAGGTAAATTTGTTTTGGTGATAGTTTATATACTCACCCAAAAATGTTTTTACGGTATCTATATGCTAAAAAAAAATAATAGAGAATTCAAAGTCTCTGCAGTCCTGTACTGTCGTATAAAGAAGGAACATCAGAAGCCTTACGTAGAATTCGCAATGAGGCTAGAATTACGGTAGCACTTACACCAACGAACCAACTCTCTCAGAGATAAACTTTATCGGCTTATTGACCCAACAGATACAATAAAGAAGCATAATATAATTTACGGAATACCATGTAATACTGGCTGTGAGGTCGACAACATAGGTCAGACTAGTAGATCGGGGTCAATTAGATTAGCAAGACCTAGAATGATTGATCCTGCTAATAAGTTAAATAACCTAAGTAAAAGCGCAGCCATTGCATTGTATTCACTTGTAATTTATCACACAATATGGTGGGATAGGTTGGAAAGTACTTAAAGTAATTTAAGGGGAGAGAAAGAGGTTAATCGTCAAATCTTTTTTCACCGAATCAACATCAAACACGTAAAGTCTTAGTGATGATAGGCCTGTATCTCACATATGGAAAATTGCAATAAACAACAAGAGGGAGATAGAAAAAAGTATTAAAGACATATTATGAAGATGTGTGAGTAAATTAATATGATTATGAGGAAGTAAATTTTGCTTAAAACGTCATCTAATATCCACAAGTTCAACATTTACATCAATAGAGATACTAAAATTCTTATATGAATGGAAGACAACAAACCAATATAAAAGGCATCCTAGGACTTTAATAAATACACTTTAGGAATTTTATTGAATTTGAGGTTTTTTCCGTCGATTGATTGGACCGAAGTGTTCGGTCTCAGGTTGACATGTCGGCTTCTTGTGCAGATGCTTCGACGATGTCTGGGGATTTGATTTGTATACAATTGGTGGATGGTGGCTAGGAGTGGAATCCAGGATGCGCATTTTGTCCTATTTGGGACTCGTGGTCAGCTGGATGTACCTGCATTTCTCTGTGAGTGATGATTTTCCCACCGAGGCTCGAACCCAGTGACCATAGTTTCAAACGCCAATGCGTTATCCAAGAAGCCGAAATGTCAACCTAAGACCAAGCACTTCGGTCCAATCAATCGACGGGAAAATCTCAAATTCAATTAAAATTAATATGACTCGTTGCACAAGAGTGGCCTCAGTGGTCTAGTGGGTAACTCTTTGGCGTTTGAAACTACGGGCACTGGGCTCGAGCCCCGATGGGAACATCATCACTCACTGGGAAATGCAGGCACATACAGAAGACGAGCCCCAAATGGGACGAAATGCGCATCCTGGATTCTACTGCTAGTAAGCATCCACCAATCAAACACTTTAGGAATATTTGCCGGAAAGAATCACCAACAAGAAACTATGGGAACAAATAAAACAAAAACCAATCGCCCAACAAATATGCAGGAGAAAACGGAGATGGATTGGACACTCGCTGAGGAGGCCGCTTTGTGACATCGCGCTTCAGGCCCTCGAGTGGAACCAGGCCGAAAGGGAAGCGGCGAGTGGGGCGTCCAATGGTGCATGACATGAAGGAGATCGTGTGAAGAGGAGTTGAAACAGTATGGACTAACTAACATGGATGTAGGTGAAAAGTACAGCAGAGGGAAGACAGAAGCAAGTGGAGACGTGCAGCAGTTGAAGCCCTATGTCCCACTAGGAACCCAAGGAAACAATAATAATATAATAATAATATTTGCAACCTGGTCTAACTTCTTGATTAACCTATCGAAATGAACAGTAGTCAGTAGACGCATTAACACATACATATAAAGATTCATTTTTACAAACATTTCGTTGAAAATTAAAGGCGTAAAAAATTCACAAAGATTATCAAAGCTAGAAATGATGAACAAACAAAAGTATACATATACAACTTACTTCGACCAACAACATTGAAAGAAGTAGTAGTAGTAGTAGTGGAGGACGGTGTAGCTGTACTATTGGTATTCCCTGCTGGTGCCTGGGATGTGGTGTCTGTTGAGGGTAAATGGTTCAATGATCCGCTTGGATTGGGTATAGTGGATTGAATATTATGTTGACCTGCATAGATGCGATGACGAGATAGGGAAGTGAAAAAAATACGTACAGATAGGTATGGGCAGTTTAATAATAGCCAATATATCGAAAACAATGTTTTCTTTTAATGTATAGAGATCCATTACAACAACATAGAGATCAGCTTCTTCCTTTCAGACTATAATCGAGTAAATTTGATCGTTACAAGCCTTTTAGTTGAAATACTTGCCTTATTTAGTTTTTATAAATCTATGAATGGAGATTATTCATGAATGAATATCTTTTCATGAAAGCTAATTGCCATGCTGAATATCGAATGGCCGGACGGACGGCCAGAAAGAATTAGCAACAAGAAACTCTGGTTACACATGAACCAACCAAAAGCTGATTGCTCAACAAATATGTAGGAGAAAGTGGAGATGTATTGGACCTACAGTGAGGAGGTTTTCGAATGACACTGCGCATTTCGCAGGCCATCGCCCGAGTGGAATATCTCAGTGGTAAGCGACGAGTGGGTTTTCGGTGCGGCATAGTGACATGAAGGAGTTTGTGTGAATTGGATGAGGAGATGCAATCGTGTGGCTTGCCAGCTGAAGAAGGCTGCAGAGAATAGAACAACGAGGGAATATGTTGTTGAAGCGTTATTTTCCAATTGGAACCCAAGGGAATAATAATAATGAAATAGAGCTATAGTTTGGTTTGTAAGGGTTAGTTATGTTTTTACGAGTTGATCACGGATTGATATCAGTTAGAGAAGCATTGTAAACCAGGGAGTACTGGACAGCTGTTTCACTCTAGTTTGGGAATCATAATCAGTACGCACCCACTGGGATTCGAACCCAGGACCTTCCGGTCGTTGGTGGGACATCCATCCACACTTCCAGTACTCCCTGGTTTTCAACGGTTCTCCAACTGATATCAGTCCGTGATCAACTCGTAAAAACATAACTAACCCTTACAAACCAAACTATAGAAAATTAATCTGATGCTCGCTAGTGACTTGCTACAGGTTGTAGTTTCCTGAGTTCTAGTGAGAAGTCGTGACCAGTGAGGTTCAATTAGATGTCACGTGTGTGGATGGATGTCCCACCAACGACAATGGTTGTGGTCGCGCTAAATCACGAATTGGTAGAAGTTAGAATTCATGGATTAGCCATTGAATCGGGTCCCAGTGGCTCAATGGTATACGAGCTTGCCTTGTAACCGGAAGGTTCTATGTTTGGACCCTGGTGGTGGGTGCGTACTGCCGATGATTCCCAAACTAGGATGAAACGGCAGCTGTCCAGTACTCCGTGGTTGGTTTTCAATGGTTCTCTAACTGATATCAGTCCGTGATCAACTCGCAGAAATAGAGCTAACTGCCATTGAAACACTGGGAAAAAAGAAGAACAGTGCGACTCAATGACACCTACTTATAAATCTTAGCGACATTTTACATATCACTGATGACAAATGGAAAGACAGTGTACAATTATGGTGTTCAACTCAATGACCCAATGATAATCTATCCACTTCATGGCATAAGAACTACATGTTCGGCTGAAAAATGTGATACTAATTTTTACAGTAGCTTCATTTCTAACGTTGTGATTTTCAAAATTACATCCAACTTGATGAGAATAACAAAATAGGCAGAATTGTGAAAGTGAAATTTTTAATTTTGTAAAGTGTAGACTGCATTCACATATTTTCTCTTAACTTTCTATTCGTAAAATCAACTATTTATAGAGACGAAAAAAAGCACATCACAAATCTGTTTTAGTTCCCAATGAATTATTCAGGCATTTTAGTGTAATTAAATTTAGTTCTAATGATAGATAGATAGATATTGACAGAATGCATCCAAAAAATTGCTGGAAAAGAAATGCTGCTATCTTATTACTTTTATTCTATTCCTTTGCATTCCCAGTGGAACTTAGAGCTTCAAGCTACAGCTTAGAATTTTAGATAGTAGTGGTGTCATTTTCACGGAATGAGATTTCTAGTCTCACGCCCAATCTTACCTCATTCCTTGGGCTTATTATTAGCTAAGAGAGGCTTATGAGTGAGTCGGCCGGCGATCGAACTCCGGACCACCTGAGTGACTGGCGAACATTCCACCTCTGCGCCACCGATGCTACTTATCTAGGTAGTTCATAAAAAAGAATCAGGAATATTTTATCTTAAATATCTAACGTTCACAGTTTACTTTTTTAACTTTGAGATCTTGAGTCGCACAATAACAGTGTAGCCGTGACTTCTGACTGGTTACGCACATAATGATATGATGGTTCAATAGAATACTTACCAACCACGTAAGTGGTCCGAGTTCTATTCCAACGCCAACGCAATGCTAAATACTGCTTAGTTGGTGGCAAACCTGATAAAGACGGAAGAGGTGGGGTTTGGGGCTAGAAACCCAACCCGTAAAAACGACATGATCAATATTGAAACTTCATAGCAAAAGCCTGGCGCATTTTGTTCCACTTGGAATGCGAAGGGCGTTTTGAATACGATCTATTTCTCTGACTATAAGTGATAAATTGTATCTTGAATATCATCAGTAGATAAACAACACTGCATCATTATGTTTTATCAAATAATATTATCTTATGATACAATAACACCCCACTGCATAGTCCGAATCCTACTCTTATATGAGTGCTGCATAAGCTCTCCTTATGCGTAAACCCTGCTGCTACACTTAGTGAGATATAAGGCAACCAGGTAGCAATAACATCAACACATGGAAATCTGCGTTCGATGAGTAAAATGTAGTTAACTCAAAAAAACCACCAAATATGTTTTCTCATTCACTAATAATTCCGGATATGCGTAAAGTACATTTTAGTTTCAAAAGATCAAAAACACCCATTTGAATCAAAAACAAAATAACAGGACAATTCAGAGTAGAAAATCTCAATTTCCGAAGAAATCATTTTCAGAGGCTGTACAATCGTATTTTCTAGTTTCAATATATCAAATATTTCCATGTTAAAATTTAGAACAACACATTTGAGCAAAACCATATTGTTTTCAATTGGTGGATGGTGACTAGCAGTGGAATCCAGGATGCGCATTTCGTCCCATTTGGGACTCGTGATCAGCTGGATGTACCTGCATTTCTCAGTGAGTGATGATGTCACCATCCACCCATGAAATACTTAAATGCCCAGACATCGTCGAAGCATCTGCACAGGAAGCCGACTTGAAAACATGAGACCGAGTGCTTCGGTCCAATCAAACGACGGGAAAATCAAAAATTCAATTAAATACCGTTTTCAATTAGATCCCATCAGGTTGAACTCTAATATATATAAGTTTACAAATGAAAATTCAAATATAAACCAATCATGGTGTTTTGTTTATAGGATAATACGATGGTGAATATAAATTGTGCGCTTAGTAGTGATATTAATAATGGTTTCATCAATAATAAGGATGAAAATGTGAGGCAATCTGTGATAACACGAATAATGAAAAAACAGCATGATTAAACAAACAAATGTTCAGGTGGAAGTAGTCGATAAAGGCTAGTACAAACAAATGAACCAATTAAGTAATGCTACTCTAATACTTTGATAAAGCTATTAGCATTAAATAGCGAAACGTCAGTAAAAAACAATATCGTTTTGTTTTCATTCATTGGAAAATACAAAAAACCTTTATTATAATAAGTAATGCTAGATTGTAAGAGAAGTAAATGAGACACGTTTCTAATGAAGATGTGATAAGATTAAGGGATGATAAGAAAGGGGTTGAAAATATAAATAAGGGGTGATGTAGAAGTCATTAGTTCGTTATGTCTTAATAGGCCAAGGGAGGGATAATGGCTGTACAAACTTCTTTTGAATGCATAGTTTAGGTTTAATAGTTCGAATGCCTATCGCCTCAGCTGTGTGCAGTAAACAAATACGAAGTCTATTGGAAATATTCGGTGGGATACGATGAATTACTTTGAAAGCTCTCTGAAAGTTTGTATTGTCAAAGTCAGACCTTAGCCCATCATTGAACGATGAACTAACTAGGTTGAAAACGTTGCTAGTTGACTGCTGCCAGCAATACAACAGTAATAGACATTCAGTTAATAGATTGTTAGCTAATCAACACAGGGAAGCTGTAAATGAACTTAGAAATAACGAAAGCTTAATTATTAGCAAAGCAGATAAAGATGGCGGTATACTTTTACTGGACAAAAGCGATTATTTTGGGAAAATTGCAGGTATTTTGAGTGATCAAACTAAATTCCAATTGGTGTTTACAAAGTCCTCAATGTAACAGCGGAGAAACTAATGACCGACTCTCAAAAACCTGGACCACATAGGTGTATTATCATCAGCCACGTATAAGTCCATAAAAGCAACGGGTACCAATACTCCATGTCTTTACGGTCTACCCAAAATGCACAAACCGGGTCTTCCTCTTCGCCGTGTTTGAGATATGTGTAAGTATCCATTTCACGGACCAGCGAAGTGGTTAGTTAAGATTCTGCGTCCTTTGCATAGAGAAATTGTGCAACATAGAATTCGTGATGTCTTCGACTTTATTTCAAAAATATACGAGACGCATGTTATCCATGGATGTATCATCACTATTCACTAATGTACTGCTTATGGAGACAGTAGGTTGCATTTGTCGGGAAATCACCGAAAGGCAATTGGGCTTAGGAATCCCCTCGTGTAGCCTCAAAGAATTACTTTTCAAATGCATAATGAATGTTCACTTTGTCTTCACAATTCTTACTATCGACAAGTAGATGGGAGAGCTATGGGTTCACCACTATGCCCAATATTAGCTGACTTCTTTCTCGCAAAACTTGAAAACGGGAAATTGAAATACCTCATCAAAAAGTTTGATTTGTATTGCCGATATGTTGATGACACATTTATCTCAGCTGATGGGAATGTTAACATAGACGAATTGTTGTTGAAATTCAACAGCGTCCACCCTTTGCTTACTTTTACTTGTGAAGAGGAGCAGGAGAATAAATTACATTTTCTGGATGTCTTGCTAAGTAGGCGAGAAGATGGGTCACTTGGGAGAAGCGTGTATAGAAAAAGCACATTCACAGGGCAATACGTACACTTCCTTAAATACGTGAACATTAAATATAAAAGAAATGTTGTTAAAGGTCTTACGAGCAGAGCAAGAAAGATATGTACGGGTGACCTCTTACAAAAGGAATTTGAATATATTCACGATTCCTTGATGGAGATGGGCTATCCTAGTAGTTTCATAAAGAAACATATGAAAACATCAGGGAGAAAACCTGAAACTCTGACAGCTCGTAAGAAGCCTCTACTTATTAAGTTACAATCTAATGGTGACTTATCAAGCGAGATTTTGTCTAAGGGACTTTCCAGGAGTATACGGAGGACGTTTTCGCAGCATACCTATGTTTGTCATTCTCTAGTTGGGGAATGATTGGGACGCAAACGAAGGATAAGCTTGATAGTTTTGCCACATGTGTGTGTATTTATCAATTGAACTGCACATGCGCTGACAGTTATGCTGGGCATACTACTAGACACCTTAGCCAACGTATTAGTGAACATCTGCCATCGTGGTTTGGCAAAAGACAGACAAAAACAATCCGTAGCTCCATTTTATCACATTTAATTCGTAGTGGTCATGTAGTTGGGAGAACGAGGGCTTTCAAAGTAATTCATCGTATCCCACCGAATATTTCCAATAGACTTCGTATTTGTTTACTGCACACAGCTGAGGCGATAGGCATTCGAACTATTAAACCTAAACTATGCATTCAAAAGAAGTTTGTACAGCCATTATCCCTCCCTTGGCCTATTAAGACATAACGAACTAATGACTTCTACATCACCCCTTATTTATATTTTCAACCCCTTTCTTATCATCCCTTAATCTTATCACATCTTCATTAGAAACGTGTCTCATTTACTTCTCTTACAATCTAGCATTACTTATTATAATAAAGGTTTTTTGTATTTTCCAATGAATGAAAACAAAACGATATTGTTTTTTACTGACGTTTCGCTATTTAATGCTAATAGCTTTATCAAAGTATTAGAGTAGCATTACTTAATTGGTTCATTTGTTTGTACTAGCCTTTATCGACTACTTCCACCTGAACATTTGTTTGTTTAATCATGCTGTTTTTTCATTATTCGTGTTATCACAGATTGCCTCACATTTTCATCCTTATTATTGATGAAACCATTATTAATATCACTACTAAGCGCACAATTTATATTCACCATCGTATTATCCTATAAACAAAACACCATGATTGGTTTATATTTGAATTTTCATTTGTAAACTTATATATATTAGAGTTCAGCCTGATGAGATTTAATTGAAAACAGTATTGTTTTCCTTAAATGTGTTGTTCTAAATTTTCTATTTTCGACTGTTAAATGTCTCTACGATCCAATATATGTTAGAGAGATCATTGAAAACCAGAAAGCACTGAACAGCTATTTCGAACTACTTCGAGATTCATCCCAAGTGCTCACCTACGAACTCACGAGAGATTAAACACTAGACATTCAGGTTAAAAAAACGAATCTTGCACACCATTCATCGATTTGGACAAGAATTCAATGCGTCCGTGGATTCTAACTTTGTCAATTCTTAAATAATGCTTTCGATGAGCAATCACTTCACCATGACATAGTGGACCCTGTAAATCTGATAATCTAAGTCGTGACCAGTAGGATTCAGCCGTCGGGTGTGAGGACAAATTCTCGCCAAAGACACTGGCTAGTGGTTGGGCAATATCATGAATTGGCAGAAGTTAGAATTCATGGGCTGGCCATTGGATCGAGTCCCAGTGGCTTAACGGTCTACGAGCTCGCCTTGTAACCAGAAAGTTCTGAGTTTGAGCCCCGGTGGGTGCGTACAGCTGATGAAACAGCTGTTCAGTACTCCCCGGTTTTCCAATGGTTCTCTGACCAATGTCAACTCATGATGAAATCCTGTAACTAAGTATATTAGTCTACTATTGAGAAATAGGCAGAGGAGGGTGACATAACGGATACAATATACTCTTATATGTTCCTTTTGTACATTTTTTCACTCTCTTCACACTTGTCAAGTGCACAGTCAATTCACCTTATCTGGAATTGAATTAAAACTCTAACAACACATCAACGATTATTATTTTATTATTATTATCCCATTGGCTTGTGAGTGGAACATAGGGCTTCAACAACATATCTTCACCTTCTTCTATTTTCTCCACTCCTCTTCATCTGGACCCACGATTGCCCATGAACTCTCATCTTCTTCCCATTACACGCCCTCCTCCATGTCACCCTCGCACAGACGACCCATTCGTCGTTTCCATTTGGATTCCACTCGAGCGATGGCCTTAATCGCACGCAATGTCATTCGACGGCCTTCTCACCATTTCCTCCTACATATTTGTTGAGCAATGGGTTCTCGCCTTTGGGTTTGTTCCCAGCCAGAAATTCTTGTTACTAATTTTTTTTTGGCTGGCCATCCGGCCATTTGATCTTCAGTATAGAGCTAGGCAGCGAAGGTGGCAGATGTTGATAAAAGTCTGCAATGGTCTGTTGGAAATTCTTTTTGTGACATGTTGGCCAAGTTTCTGACTCGTATAGAAGAACTGACTGACTGACTGACTTCACACTTGTGTTGCAAATAAGAACGTCATTCTTTATACTGAAGCAAAGCGCAGAAGATTTCCGAACTGCCTTCAGATTGATGTAGTGTGTATCTTGCCTTTCCTATTCACACTGACTTTGACATCGTCATGAGTTCCGATTGCCTGTGGTTGAAACGATACCTCCTAGATAAGTGAAGGAAGAGATGTATCAGACAAACTCTGAAAAGAGATCTTGGAGTGGCATAGTGATGTGTCAGATCACGGAGTGCAACTCGAGTGGGAAATGAAAAGTTGAGCATCCTATAGTGATATCTGTAAGGGATCATGTGAAGAGGAGAAGACAGCTTATGGAGAATTGTAGAGTTAGATGAAGAGGACTGCAGACAACTGGATGAAATGGAAATGTGATATTAAAGTCTTATGTTGAACTCAGAACCTAAAGGAATAATAATCAATAATACAAAGTTCCAAGTTTGGTGAACACAACCACATAATAGCACTAACTATAACAAAATGTAAAGTACCACAAAAGAAATACTTGACGTTTATGATATTTAAAAAAAAACAACTAAATAAAAATAAATTACCTTTCAATGGTCTCCTTTCAATACTTTGATATTGTTGATGCATATCACCTGAGGTAGTTGTTGTCGTTGTCGGTAAAGGACTTCCAGTAGCTCGTCCAATCACTAATCCTGCATAATCTCGATTCTCACGGAATGATGCTCCAACATACGGATTATATTTACTCGATACAGTAGTACTAGATGATGGTGATGAATACTTTGTCAATTGTTGTTCTTGTAATACTTGAGAATGTTTTCTGTCTATCTCTGACTTATTACAATTTGTAGGCGTTTTAGGTGAAATATTCTCACCACCAATAGTATTGAAATCACCACTACCACCACCTAATTTATATACATTATCCACTGAATCATTTATAGGTAGATTTCCACGTCTAAATGACACACATAGAGAGTGATAAAGTAAGCGTAAAAGAATGTTTCTAACGATAAATGTTAGGAATGAATTTATGCTTCATTAACTATTTGAGTACTACTACTCTATAAAGGATAGTTACTTAAATAACCAATCATATAAATAGAGTGCATTTGAAACAATACAGAGAGAGAGAGAGGGCGCAAGAAACTTAACCAACCACCACTTATTGTTCACAATAACGATAACGATAACAACAACAACAACAATAAAAAACAATCTCAAAGATAATTGGAAACTTCAAAATATGGCCTTCTTATGAAAGCCATACTGGTCGTACTTGTAGTAGAAGTCCTCCCCCCCCCTACTCTTACTTCTGAGTTCAAACCTAACAAGAGGATTTACGTGTGTATTCAATAATACAACAATATATAAAATGTAGGGTTTTTTTTTTTAAAAAAAAACAAGGTTTTCTGATAGTTGAAATGAATAACTTCCCATAGGAATTAAAGTACGATTAAAACACAAAACAAGCACACACAAAAAAATAACGAATCCCAAGGTTAATTAAGTTTAATCGGTCATTTCATCTACCTTTACAGAAAACAACAATAGTAATATTGAATGTTTGTAAGAGTAAAAGATGAATGAATGTAAAGAAAACAATAATGGAAGGTGGTTCTTATTGGTCTTGTATGCTTCATTATATTACTGAAATAAGCAGGTAAACACCTAATTCCCTCTCTCTCTCTCTCTCTCTCTCTCTACACACACACACATAATAATGTAAGTAAGTATTATCATTATTTATTATTCCCTTGGGTTCCTAGTGGAACATAGGGCTTCAACTGCTGCACGTTTTCACTTGCTTCTGTTTTCCTTCTGATGTACTTCTCACCTGCATCCATCTTAGTCCATACTGACTCAACTACTCTTCACACGATCTCCTCCATGTCACCCACCCCTGCTTGCACTGATGTCCCACTCGCCGCTTCCCTTTCGGCCTAGTTTCACTCGAGCAATGGTCCGACACGCGCGCGATGTCACCCAGAGGACTGCCTACTCAGGAAGTATCTAATCCATCTTCACTTTCTCCTACATATTTGTTAGGCGATTGGTTCTTGTTTTGTTTGTTCCTAGCCATAGTTTCTTGTTGGTGATTCTTTCCGGCCCGGTCATCTGATCTTCAGTATAGAGCCAGTGAAGACAGTTGTTAATAAAGGTCTGGTCTGCAACAGGCTGTTGGAAATATTCTTTGTGACCTACCCGCCAAGTTTCTCATCCGTATGGAAGAACTGACTGACTTGACGTTTGTATTGAAAACTCGAAAGAATTTTGTTGTTGACGTTGGCTGAGTGACGAAGATTCCCAGATTGGTTTCAGGTTGATGAATGTGTTTCTCGCCTTCCCGATTCTCGCTCGATTTGACATCCTCCTGTAGTTGAGACAATGTTCCCTAGGTAAGTGAATGAAGCAATCTCTTTCAAATCCTTCTCGTCGATGGTGATTGGCACTGGATGTTGCTGCTGTTGTTAATGTTGTTGTTGGTTGATTATTTTCATAACCTCCGTCTTGCCTATGTTCATCTAGATTCCTGTGTTCACCGGCTGCTTCTTTGACCAGTTTGTCGGTTTTCGCTTGTAAGTCTTCGATTTTGTATGTGTGACGTCAAACATAAAACAACCGCGCGCGAAATCCAGGTCTTCTAGGTTCTTCACGTCGGTCCAGGATATCCCTGTCCCGTTTCTCGTTTCCCACTGTCTGACGCATAATCCAGTGAGTCCACCACAATTAGGAATATCGTTTGTGATAATAGGCAGGCACCCTTGTCTGACTTCTGTGTTTACTCCAAACGCCTCGTTGAGTTTTCCGTTGTGGATCATTTGATATGTGACGTTGTCGTACAGCTGTTGAATAAGGTTGATGAATATTTGGGGCACTGTACGCCGTAGTACTCGAGTAGTTTCCAAATTACTTCGCGGTCAACGCTAACTGTCAAAGGCCTTCTCGAAGTCTTTAAAGTTGAGGTAGAAGTCCGATTGCCATTCCATGCTTTGTTCTGTGATGATGATGCGTAGAGTCTCAATTTGGTCAGAGCATGATTTGCCTTTTCTGAATTCAGCTTGTTCTGGTCGGAGTTCTGTCTCCAATGAGTCCTTTATTCTCTCCAGGATGATGCGACTCAGGATTTTACTTGGCGTCGACAAGAGCAGGATTCCTCACCAGTTCTTGCAGAGTCAGGAATATCAAATACCAACCGACAGTGAAACTCAGCAGTCTGATGGCCTTAAAAATCAGACGAAAACAGTAAATAGGTTGGTGATGAGACAGTCTGACATCATCTTGCCCCTTCATAGTCAGTGATGAAATGAGAATTCGGGACATAATAGGATATGTGGACCAGTAAACTCCTAAATATATCAATCCTGAGCTCTACGGGCTACGCTGTAACGAGATTCAACTACTGATTAAGCAGCTATCGTTTCACTGCACTCATCATTATCATCACCACCCCTACAGGTAGTATCTAGATATATGTGTGAAAGAAAGATAAGTTAGTATGAATTTATATTCACACTAGCTGTCCTCCAATGTCAACTGAATAACAGAAACAAGTCACAAAATGTCGTTCATGGTCGAGTCTGAGAAAGTAAGACAAATTGTAGGTGAATTTTATACATAAAACTACATAAAAAAACAACAAGAAAGTGAAAAGTAGGCGGTAGGGGAGGTGGGAACATGCTGGGTCAGCAAGAAGCCTGTAGGAGATTTGAACTTCGCGGATGATTTAGGTTTAATGTCACAAAAAAAACTCGAAGATCAACAGGAGAAAACCAACTAGTTGGCAGAAGAAGTAGTGAAGACAGGAAGAACGTAAAGTGGACATAAAGAAGACAGAGGTGATGAGGTTATCTAGCCAACAACAACAACAACAGGCGCCAATTACTATCAGTGGGAAAAATTTTGAAGGAAGTCACTTCTTTCACTTATGCAGGCAGCATTATTTTAACTGTCGGGGGGTATCATGGATGAGAGGAGGACAAAGACAAGATTGGAAAAGCAAGATAGACATTTATTAATCTGAAATTAGTGTGAAAATCTGCTATATACTGAGCATAAAGAATAAGAAATGGATTTCCAACACTGACCTCACTCAAGTCACCCAGTCCTTGTCATATGGTTGAAAGTATTTCTTACAGGCTTCAGGCTTTTACCAGCGTAACTACCTTCGTTTCATACTGAAGGGTTAGCAGCAAGGAACTGTGGCACTGAACCAACCAAAAACCGATTTGCTCAACATCTATTGCTGAAGGAAACGCAGACAGATAGGATACATGCTAAGGAGACCACTGAGTGAAATCACGCGCTATTCAGGCCTCAGAGTGGGACTTAAATGGGAATCTAAGAGTTAGGCATGTGTTGTGGGTGACATAGAGGAGATGATACTTTCTTTATAGGCTATAATGGAGCCAGCTAAAGAGGACTGTAGAGAACAGGAGGAAATGGAGATGTCCTTTTGAGGCCCTATGTTCCACTCAGAACCCAAGGGAATGCTAATAATAAAATAGCAGAATAGTAATACAAATATTTGAAAATTAATATAATTGAAGATACGGTTTCTACAAGGTGTTGAATGAGATCCTCATCATCTAATGACTCTTTGAAAGGTGTATATGAACAAATAGGATACAATATGTTTATCAGTAGAAATAATAGTATGGTTAAATAAAAACAAGTATTTATTAGAACCTGTTGATCAGACAATACGTGGACTTATAGTATCCTATGAATATAAACCAAGATAAAACCCATTTATCTAAAAGAAATAAAGATTTAAGATCGATCTATGACACCGCCTTGTAACCAGAAGGTCTTGGGTTCCAAACCTGGATGTGGGTACGTACGGTCGATGAGTCCCAAACTAGGATGAAACAGCTGTTCAGTACTCCCAGGTTTACCAATAGTCCTCTAACCGATGTCAGTTCATGATGAAATCCTGAAACTAACCAATCAAATACCTGCAAACCAAAACTTGAGTAGTATTTATACTCGACACTTTTGTTTAAATAAATCCTTCTTTTATGTGTTTCAACCTTTCATTCCTACCTCAGTTAACATAATTCTTTATTTCATTTGTTTCATCAATGAAATATTTTATATGGAAACAGTTGAAAAGGCATCAGCACCTTTCGTCTAATCTTTAAATTGAAGCAGAGCAAAGGTAGAGAAGAGAAGAAAATTCAAAAAAACTGTCATAAACATAAATGTTTAGGAGAGACAATAGTAACATGTAAAACACTTAATTTATTTAATTTATCTGGGAGATTACAAAGAGTGGATATATATGCACCATATCACCAATATCCTCAAGCTTTCGTTTCTCAACAAGCTGATGCTCCGACCAGAAAATATACACCTTCTTATGAGGCTGACTAAAATCAACAGTCAAAAAATTCATGAACTGCTTGTGAATTGACCGCCCGAAAATCTTCGTCATACGCTATACGTGTCGATATAGTTTTCTTACCTAACAGTACGCCTAGCCTCAATATTGTTCACCATATTATACCATTTTACATAGCAGATAAAAGAATATATAGGAGTTTTAGGCAACTGAATGGTTCTACTGCGTTGAAGCAGTACCCCCTGATGCATATGTTCCCCTTTACACTTTGTTGAACAATTTAGAACCATTTGCTTATGTGAGACAACAACGTCGTAACATTCAGTACCTATAAGCGAATGCTTTATCTATTCACTGCATAATATTTTCCGGTTACCTAGATATTGGAGTTACTTGAATTAAGCTTCAGTCGGTGAACGAAGGACTGATAATTTCTAACATGTCTCGGAAATGGCTAAGGTCAAGTCCTAAACTCTGCTCCAAGTCACAAACAAATAAATTAGCAATTAAGTGTATACACAGATGCTACATAAGTTCAAACTCAGTTCCATTAGCATGATTATGAGATAGGTACATTTTTACAGTCTAGGGGAAAATAATCTAACTTCAGTTGTTAATTTATTCTATTACTATCACACACCATTTGAATAAAATAACTGACACACTATGAATTTCTTTCCTCTACTTTATGTATAACTTTCCAAAGTGTAACAACTACTATACTACGTTCATAGATGACTTGTTACCAGTTCATTCTATCCTTCTATATGGGTCCAAGTCATGGTCATTGAAAGTGGAAGATATGAAAAGGCTAGGTCTCTTTGGCTACAGGTATTTCCATTCTATCTCCATCTTAAGCCTTTAAATATCTTGGGTTAGATAAGGAAGGTAAGTTAATCGATTAGATTTTCAAACTACATCGATTGAGATGGCTAGGACATGTGTTACGCAAGCATGCCTAACCATCAACCACCTCGACCACCAATGTTAGCTGACATAGAATCGGGTTGAACAAGAGCTAGCGGTGGTCAAACCAAATCATGGCTTCATCAGCCAATCAAATCCCCAACAGTTAGTTTAAGCCAATCACGAAGGAAGGTGTAGACAGCTATCCGGTTGAGGTCCTCGGGATGGTGACAATTGGTGATATGGCTTGAAATGGCTCTCAATGAGAGCGCAGATGCATCCTCTCCTTGTGACTTACAATATCCAATAAAATTCTATTGTTCTTCCATATTTCATATTTCTGCTTATTATCTTCGTTTTGAATCTCTTTTTACTTTTTTTCTCCCTTCGTGTGCTAAGCGAAGTGTGGCGACTCGGACTGATGCACATCGGTACAAAGTTCCACGCTGAAACCAGTTAGTCAGTCAATCAGTCAGGTTACGACACGTGCTAGTCATGTTGAGCAACTACTGCTTTCTCCCACTAAGAATGCTGACTGATATAAGGTTGGGATGGAAAAGAGATATGGGTGGTCAAACCAAAAACTGATATCATTCCATGAAGACTATGACCGTTAGTTGGAGCCAGCCACGTGAAGAGGTGTAGAGCTTAGGTGCTCAAGATGTTGAGAACCACTGGATTCAGATTGTTGGTAATATGGCTCAAAAGTCGTTGTCAATGGCGCACAGATGCATTCTCTCTTTGTAACTTTTCACGCCTTTATGGTTAATTTAACATATATATATATATATATATATATATATATATATATATATAAGAAAACAGGCAATAATAATTCATACATTTATATTTATTTACTTGAAAATGAATTTATAAATAGCTCGAATACTTTTGAATACAGACAATATTAAAAATTCCGCTTTGAATATCATTAACCCAGCTAGTTTACAACTATGAATCATTGAAATTAACGCAACACCACATATATTTGCACAAGTTTACATTAAAGTCAGACGTCACCAAGACAACCTGAGGATTGGATTTAACAACTGTATAATGGTTAGAGAAAGTTATGCAATTTTACTTATGTGAATGAGTAGTGTTAGTGAGAGTGTGAAATGATACATCGATTGGTCGTTAGATAGTAGCTAATTTTTTGAGTTGCGGCAGACTGAATGCTATCCCCAAGCTACATGACTCACAATGTACTGCGAAATGATGTTTAGAGGCAATCAGTGGGAATCCAACGACTAGGTTCCGTGCTCAATGGCACTCATCAAAAAGGTTTATCTGCTGCTAGTGATCAATAAATTTATCCGTTGCATTCTTATAGGAGGTTAGACGCAAGTTGATATTGGTTACTCCCCAATAAATAATCAGCGTATCTGTTACAGTCCTACAGGAGGTCAATCGTAAGTCTGAATGGTCAGTAGTAACACCTATGACCAAAACATTGGATGACGCGGGTTTCATTCTCAGTTCCCTTAAGGCTGCAGATGCGTCTTGCTGACAAGTGCGGACTAGGTGAGAAGTTTTCTGACGAATGCCTTTATTAACCTAAGAGAGTGAAATGAATATGAAGTAGCGCAATTTTCGGTACGTTATGAATCGTATCAACCATGACCTTAAGTGGTCGGCTACCAACTCATGTGTCTCAGGTTAAAAACCCATTGCACCTACAGTAACCTGAGAATATGACTACTACTATAAGCGTTCATATGCAGTGCACCTTACTGCCTACAACATAAAGGTTTCTGCACCCATACAGTGAGTTGCATTAAGGAATTAGAGATACTGCTCAATACTAACATATCATTATTCATGATTATTTAATAAAATGTCGCATATTTCATTTTTTTTAATGTTAATATGCATAATAAATACAAACCTTTTAGCTGAAGCTTTTCCAGGAATTAAACGTTGTAATGGCATAGCAGGAACAACAGCTGGTGTTAGTACAGGACCAGATAGATTTGAATTTGCATGATTTATATCTGTACTAGACGTATGTATACAAGTATTCGATAAACTTGTAGGAGATACCTTTGTCACCTTTAAGGATGATATAGGTGTTGTGGAATTAGTAATAGGCTGTGCATTGTTAGAAATTTCACTTTGTCTACGTTTTCAGCTTCTTCAAATAATCGCATTGCACGTCGATGTGATGCAGCACTGCGGATACTTGATACCTAAATAAAAAAAAGCCAACGAGAAGAAGAAATATGTTATGAAAATATATGCTAAGTGAAAATGTTAGAACACCATATTGCAAATACATAGACTTGTGTGAAATTGTAAACATAATATATTTAATAAATTTATTTCCACTACTAACATAACTGCATCAGTTTAGTGAGGAATATAAAGAGCGAATTAAATTATTTGTAAGTTTAATGAATTTAGAACTTAGTGTGACTGAAGGCAAATAACAGCAAGCTATGGGAGCAAGAATTCATGATGATAGAACCTCATACAAAGACGTGAGTTGATTTCACGAAAGGAAGTAATGCATTGCCTTTAAAAAACTTTTATGCCTTGGTGATTCAGTGTTGATTAGTTGAGAAGGTATCAAATTCGTTTAGATTGTAAAAGCACACGGTTGATAGGCCGTGATATGCACGACACATACATCTAGGGTAAAAGACGAAGTTGTCAAGAGTTCTTAACGGCTTTAGTAAGTTCAGAGTTGATCGTAAATTACCAAGCTAGACATTCCTTGACAATTTAGACAAATAAATTACCTATCATTCAACCAATCTTTATCTTATTCTATACTTACTATTCTAGAAAAACTGCTAGTGTTTAAAACAAGATAAGATAAGATAATAGCTTTATTCCAAATCAGTACTTGTGATACAGAATGCAATTCTCAGCATTTTTACTACAATATTGCATCCAGTTAGTACGTTAACAATAAATAAAGTTCTACATAGATTAGAATGATCTCAGTCAGTTTTGACAGCAACACATTAGCATGTCGGTCACAAAGCCAAAATTTAAACAGACTGTTTGAAGGTGTTAGAAAAGTAGACACTACTAGCATATTTACTGCCGTAAGCGATAGCAAAATGGTCGAGATATACAGAGTGTGAAAGAACAAACAACAATGTTTTAAGTAGAGTTTGTAAGGAAGAGAGAAACAAAACGGCACATAACAAAAATAAATACAGAAAGAGAAAAAAAAGTAGAGAGAAAAACTTTGTACCTGTAAATGATGTGAGTTGGAAAGACGAGATCTATTTGTTCTACTGACTATTTAATAAGTTATAAGTTTCACGCCTAATGCTTTCCTTATCGCACAGAACACGAGCTAGGTAGGGTATGGTTGAGTTTTTGTACTTACTAGTGCGGGCATATAGTTTCCTATATAGGCTTCTGGTCTGCCTGCCTGATGAGATACAAGGGGAGAGTTGTGAATGAAGAGTGTGGTTGTGAGTTAGATAGAATGGATTTAGGCCATTTTTCACATGAGTCTATGTGCCTGTCCACCAGAATATTAACAAGCTGGCTAAGTGGCAAACTGCTTACCCTGCTGACAACCTTTAACATCCTGCGTAATAAGGTATAGTGTTTCTTCAATAGCCCAGGAAAGACTAAGGGGGAACAATAGAGAATAATAGGCAGAATACGGGAGTTAACAAATTGTAGGAGTAAGGGTTGGGTTACACCAGAATGTCTTAACTTCTTGATGTCTGTCTGGATTCAACATAGAACTTGGCACCGAAGTGCAGCAGTTCGAGTTGCCACGTTCCAAATAGCACACAGAGGTAGACTTCTTGATGTAGAAGGTAAGACGGAATATTTTCTTAGAAATCGTCATGGAAAATAAAAAACAAATCATGTATTGCGGAATAATAAATATTAAGTGAAAAGGAAAATAACAATGGGCTTATCATGATGTAATTGCTTTAATAAATACACTAGACTTATTTAGGTAACTGAGTGAAAGATAATAAAACTAGAAAAGCTATTCAGCAAACAACAACTTAAGCATCTGAAGGCTGTATTCAGTAAAGCCCATTCAAATGTAAAGGAATGCAGTAACACAATATGAATCTCAAAATATTCAAGTATTATTAGTTGGTTTGTAGGATTTGATTGATTGGTTACAGGATTTCATCATGAGCTGACATTGGCTAGAGAACCATTGGAAAACGAGCTAGCAGTACTGGACAGCTGTCATCGATGGCAAGTATTTGTCCTCACACCTGACCTGCTCCACCCTACTGGTCACGACTTCCCACTAGAACCCCACGTAACCACCTGCCTGAATAGGGCCAGTCGCTAGTGAGCATCTCATCGATATTCAAGTGTGCCATGAATTGGCAAAAGGTAGAATTCATGATCCATTGGATCGGCTCTCGCCTTGTAACCAAAAGGTCCTGGGTTCGAACCCCGGTGGGTGCATACTCTGAAGAGTCCCAAACTAGAACGAAACAGCTGTTCAGTACTCCCAGGTTTTTCAATGGTTCTCTAGCCAATGTCAGTTCATGATGAAGTCCTGTAACCCATTCTATCCAAAACCTAAATCGCACCAAATAAAAAAGTGGAAATCCAATTTTTCACTAACTAAAACTTCTGTTAATACTCGATATCACACCGTTCGTACAAAACACCCTTGTTGATTATGTACTGACTGGAGCCGACCTGTTGTGCTGTGAAATCAGGAAACCGATCTTTGCGTTCTACCTTATGGGAGTTCAAAACTTCTTTGAGAGATGCACAATCACAAACGCTCCAAAGACAACAAAAAGACGATTATTCGTTGCTGTAATCTGTGCCACCAGGTAACCATATAGTCCAGCTAATTTTCTAAGAATAAAACAAGCACTAAGTATCAAGTAGAATATTCCACAACATCATGGGATCAAAACCTTTGTCCACAAGAATTACACACCAATACTTCCCAAAGACAGTCTAAGGTCAGAATGACCTTCATTGATGCAAAGAAACCGTCTGGTAAAATAACACGTAATCACTGTGTCGCACAATCACAGTGAGAGATAAAACAGGGACAAAGGCAAATAATAAGGACCAAGTCAACAATATAATAAGCAAATGTCAGAACGATAATATACAGTCTAGAAAAACAAACAATAATTACAAAGTTAGTTGAAACATCCAAATAAGCATAGAGACTGCGATTAAATAGTTTGGAAGGCATTTTCCAAACAATTTTTCGGTTACAGAGTGTCTTTTCCTACAGACACTGGCCACTAATACCATGGGGCAATTACAGCGAATGGCCATGATATTTAATAGTTCTCTAATCTCCAAGTGTTGGTTTAACGTGATTTTATTGACTTCGGGACGAACTTTAATCACGAACTGACATTTGGTTAGAGTACTCGATACCTCTTAAGTTCTTAAATCGAACTCTTCAATAACCCACACCAGGAATCGAATCCAAGACATTCACATTACTAGGTGATTATTCAGCCAGTGGAAGGAATCTGATGGCCCATCAATTCTAATTTCTAGCAGTTCACAACATATAGAGCAACCGCCAACCAGTATCATCAACAAGTGTAGATCTTCACACCCAACTTGGTTGAACGTGCTGGTTACGACTTCCCACTGAAACTTCAGGCAAATTCATCCCATAGTCACTTACATCCCTGATCGATGTAGGTTAGTGATAAACAATCATCAATTACTCTAAGGTGATATATGTGTATTTACTGAAAAGCATTTAGTGTGAGTATAAATAAGTTGATAAAACTACGCACACGCATGCTCAAAAGGAATCAGAGGCAAAATGACATCTTGGAGATGTGAAACATGTGAAACACAGCTAATGAAGGCAATAAATAAATGAAGACGACGTTCTATGAACATATCAATAATAATAATAATAATAATAATAATAATAGTACTGAAAGTAATAAAATAAACGGTTAAATACAGCCACGCCCAGTAATACATAAAAGAGAATATTTGATTATACAATTATATATATATATATATATATATATATATATATATATATATATATATATATATATATATATATACAGCTCATATTGAGAGGACTGAATGGTACTTCGTAATCTACTTACAATAAGAGCTGAGTGAAATAGCTGTGTAGTTGAAAGAACGCCTTTCAGGAGAATAGTTTTACTAAGCGATGCTTTATGCAAGGAGAGGAGATCTTTACTAACATCATAGGATGGCAGAGCATTGACTTCATCAGAGCACCTTATTCAAAATATATTTCCACCAACGGTCATAAATTCACATTTAAAAACATTATCAAAAAGTTACACAATAAGTTTAAACAGTATTTAAGATTTCTCAGCTTTAGTAAGCACTTCAGACAATGAAGAATAGTCATTCTCAACTATACAAGCAGAAACAGAAGCATAGAATAAAGTTACAACAAAAAACTGACGTGAAGGTTGTTCGAGTTAAAGGTAATTTAAAGACAACCACTCCTCTAACAATTTATTGATTCTTGTATTCTACCCACTCCTCTTTATTGTTACCTCTTATTTTTCCCCAGTTTTCTCGAGAAGTACTATGTTATGCAATTATTAGTGTTCTCTGAGCTGGTTGGTTTAGTTGCGGAGTTTTCGTCGTCTTTCTGGACGACATCTTCAGCGTCTCCCCTTCGAATAGGAATCCAAGAACACAAATCAACAGCGAAAAGACATGATATTAATTCTTTAGTATCAATGCATACAGACAATTATGGACATCAATTTGATTGGGATAATGTCGAAATCTTAGACAAAGGAAACACCAAAAGTGAAGTCAGGGAATTCCTAGAAGCCTGGTACTCAAACAAATATGCTATTAATAAACATGTTAATATAGAAGAAATATACCAAATAATAAAAAGTAAATCAGGTGACCAGAAAGTTTAAAATCCAAGTCAATAGAAAACGGTCAATACAATATCTAAGGACGGTTACCGGGAGACGCAATTATATCACTCATGAAGAAATTTACATCATTTCACTTTATCCTAAATACTGCGCTGAAGATGTCGTCCAGAAAGACGACGAAAGCTCCGCAACTAAACCAACCAGCACAGAGAACACTATTAATTGCAAATCATCCATCTGAGTTACAAATCTTCTCTATTAGTACTATGTTATATTACGTAAGACATTGAAGGCCATTAGCAGAGTTAGTAGTGTGCCTATGAACAAACTGACTGACATTTTTGCTGACAAAATTTTAATTC